TCCCCCCCCCATCCCCCCCTCTCCCCCTCTCTCGGCCTTGTGTGCGATTATTATCGTACTCTTGTATAGTACCTTATAATTTTATAATTAACTACTACCTTTAATTTAACTATAATACCGCGCGAAGAGCTAGTAACGTAGAAGATACTACGTAACTATATAAATATATACTTATAGTAAATAAGCTTATAGTAGACGAACCTACCAAAGCTACCGCGCTAAAGTACGTAAGAAGGTATCTAAAAGGTTAATTATATAAGTAAAAGAGCTAGTAGAAGGAGTTGTCACGGATGCCAACAAAGGATAAAGTGTATACAGCTTTTGAATCAATTGCTAGAACTAAAACCGTAGGTACGAAGAAATCAAACTAAAGAGAGAAGAGAATCTGAAAGGAGCGAAGTTATTTAAGTTGTTCCAATGCCAAGTCTCGTCACGTGCTTGGCCAAGCGAATGAAATCCTGTCAAATGAAATCCAGCTCCGTCACAGGAGTAATTAAAGACCTTACTCCTTCTTAAAATCGTCTTCTATAGTAGGTAGTTATACTAGTAGTAGCGGCGACAACGATAGTAATAGTAGTAGTAGTAGAGGTATAAAAGTACGAGTATATACGTATAAAGGGTAAATAATCCCGAAAGCTACTTCTTTAATAAGTAGCTTTTATTTTAGTAGAGATTATTTTAGAATTCTTTTATAAGCTTAAAAATAAGCCGGCGTATTTAGATTTAAAAGGATTATTTATATATCTTGTACACTGTTAACTTGTTTTTACTCTAGTGTAACGAATACTCAAACTGGCTAACTAAACTTGGCTGGGTGTTCGCTGGTTGGTATGCTATGATAAGAAGAAGACTATCGGATTGTTCACTTGGAAGTGAACTCGTTACTTGTATCAAAGATGTCAAACTGATATGATAAGATTGATAACTAAGTTGAGCACGAAGCTCCTATCTAATGGCAGACGTGCCAGTCTTATATAGAACCTTCATACCCCGCGTATGGTCCGAGTATAGAGTAGTATAAGCCTCCCTTATACTTCCTCATACTCCCTAGTCACATGATCTTCTGTAAGGAAGAAATCCTTGG